ATTGTTCCTCCTTCTTCAACAGAGCATCTGGTGGATTTGAACCGCGCACCTCTGGGATTGCAGTACAGTTTCCTGCCACTAGGCCACCAGAGCTCGCCGATTTCTTTTTTTTTTTATAATACAAAGTAAAGTATGATTTTATTGTGAAATTCTCATAGATGGAAAATTAAATTGAATATTTATTCTGTCCATATCCTTTTACAGTAATCTTACCACTTATTTTTGTACCATGTATTTCAACTGCCCGTTTAGCGAAAAATAAACCTTTAATTTTTGGCTTGTTTTGAAATTTATCAGTGAAGTAAAGATCTCCGCCACAAAATGTGTTGCCAACAGCCATCCCAAATGCCTGTGTCATCTTGTAATTTCTTGCCTCCTCTTCCCATGCGTGTTGAGAGTGAACGAAGTCCTTGAGGTTGAGAAATGGAATAATAATCCATGTTACTCCTGTCTTCCGTCCCTTCCAGAGTCTGCCTGAGTCCTTGGAATTGAGCTCTCCCCGAGCCCCCGAGTCTGACTGGGGGCGGCCTCCTGGAGGTGACAGAGACCTCACTAGCCCCTCCTCAGGTGAGCATCCTGAACCAGGTGAGCTCTTTCCCCATTCTCCTTCCTCACCACGTTCCTCTCTTTGCCTCCAGGGTTTGGATCTCCAAGGGTCTCCCGTGCTTCCAGCCCAGAGGCTCCGCATCGCCCTTCCCCACAGCCCCAGCCAGGGGCCAAGGTAAGCTCCTAAGTATCCACATTCCTTATGACCCTTTGACCACCTGGGGACTCCCATTCTAGGAGGTCACAGCAGCTCACAGCTGCTTTGTTGAGTGTTGGATTTCAGTGCTGCTTGCAATTTCTGTGCTTTATGGCCTTGGGTCAGTTTCTAAGTCTCCCTGTGCCTCAGTTCTACTATCTGTAAAATGGGCTAATAGAGATATCTACCTTGTGGGAAGCTGAATATCAAATTTAATATTAATAATAAACCAAATGCTGTATCAGGATAGGAGGGAGGTGGATACAAGCTGGAATTCACCCTGTATCACTGAAGCAATCCTTAAATGTTTACAGGGGCAGGCATTAAGGCATTGCTTAAGAGTCTACATAAGTCTTCGTTTGCATTTACTGAATCCCTCCCTCCTGAGCTAAGCTAAGGTAAACAATAGAGAAGAATTTGGTCTTATTTACAGAAGACTTCCCCATGAGCCTTTACTTTTATTTACTACTCCATTCATGGTCAGCACTCTTGGCACCAGCAGTCAGGAAATCAAAAGACGTATTGCGATGGGAAAGTCTGTGGTTAGGGACCTCTCTAAAGTACTCAAGAGCAACAGTGTCTCACTGGAGACTAAGGTGCGTCTGATACAGGCCATGGTCTTTGCAATCACTTGTTATGTATCAGAGAGTTGGACAATGACTAGGGAGGACAGAAGGAG